CAGCCAGCTAAAGGCCCAGGGAGCCTCTGGAGAAATGCCAGACTAACTGTTCCCCCAGGAGCCTCCTGGGGGATGTCTGCCCTTGCATAAGGTGTAGACACTGCCCCCCCAGGGCCTCCTTAGGTCCTCAGCTCTGGATCACAGTGGCAGGAGAGGGGGAAGAAACGTTATAGAGAGGTGGGGGCTGAGGGAGGCTGGGGAGAGGAGGGGTCTGTGGCCCTTCTTTTCACCTTTCTCTTTAGGGTGCCCACATAATGCCCACCCCCTTTCTCACACACAATCCCCTTTTTTAAAATTAATTTTTCCTTTGTCTTAAGGACACCCTAGCACTCCCACCCTCAAGAACCCCCAATGCAAAGCCTATGTCAAGTATAGAATCTAAACCCAAATTTTGTTTTTATGAAGATGACTGCCCATTCTCTATTTTCTGAATTGCTATTAGGACAAAAAAATAAGAATAAAAATAAGAAGAAGAAGAGAGAGAGAGAAAGAAAGAAAGAAAGAAAGAAAGAAAGAAAGAAAGAAAGAAAGAAAGAAAGAGAAAACAGAAAAAAGGAAAAAAGAAAGAATGAAGCCAAAAGTAAGGTGGGACTGATTGTAACAATTTTTTAACCATTCAGTCATTCATTTATTTATCTTTAAGCCTATAAAGGTGTTTCCCCTTAAAGGCAGACAGTGAATATTTTATTTTAATCTTGTAGTTTCCATCGAGACAGACCTTTAACCCTTCATTCTCCAGCTCTGCCCGAGTCCCCCGCGCCAGGCGATCCTCCGCACGAGGGCTGGGACTGTATTAAGTCTCCCTCTTGGAGCTGTTTGTTGACCACATTCACGTTCAGAGCCCTGGAGCTAAAAGCACTTTACACCATAAAATAAAAGCACTGTCTTTTTTTCTAAAAGGTTACGTCTGGAGGCCACGCGGCTCATACTTCATACCGAAAACTACTGAAAGGACTATGAAATCCTCTATGATTTACACTCTCTCACTGCATTAGGGTATAGATCTACTCGACTCTAAAAATACGGTGGGTTTCTAACCGACGTGAATATATGTGCATTATTTCAGAAAGTCTGTTAGAAAACTTGTCAACACATTATAAAGCATAAACCAGGACTTGGCTATTAAGTACGGAGATCAGAGGCAGAATATATACTGCAGGAAGTCCTGGGGAGTCTCCTCCGCGGGCAAGATAAAAAGGGGGAGGAGGGGAGGGGAGGGGTCGTCTGTTGGCCTGGAGTTTACATTCAATGTCGTCACCAAAGGTTTGGGAAAGAGCCCACGGAGCGTAATTAGCAAAGGTTCCACAGCTCCAAATTAAGTTAACTGAACGGCCAGAAAATAATTTTAACGTTGTCATAATTTATTACTTTCTAAAAGCCACTTTGGTAAAGGTAAATATACTTATTGTGTATCCAAGTGTGCGCGTTTAAGGTGACCTTTCACCCCTCTACAAAAGCACCTGCATCATTAATCAATACTTATGTAATATTTTTAAACCTTTTAAAACAACACATTTTTCTTTCTTTAAACACACGTACAACCTTCCCCTCCCCCCACTTTTGAGCGCTTTAGCGAGCATCCAGCAGGAATGAGGGAGGGGGCGTCACTCTTAGGGGCGAGCACGAGGGACCGGCAGTGGGGGTCTGCGACGAGGAGGGATCAAATGCCAATACACAGCCCAGGTTTTCTGGACTGGGTGAAATCAGGCTGGGGGAGGGGCGGGAGCGGAGGGCAGTTCCTATTTCACTCTGGGCATTTTATGGTGGTGAAATTAAATATATGTTAATGGTGGAAACGTCGCTGCTTACCTCTCCATTGGCACCCAGGGAAAGCAGCTGCAAAACTGGGTTTTTAATGTATGTTTTAAGATGTGGTTTCGGAAGGAACCCCCTGGAATCTGAAACAAGTGCAATAACATAGCAGACCTACTTGTAACTAAGTGCTTAATTTCCTATGATTTTTTTTTAAAAAAAGAAAATCAATAAAATGTTGCCAGTTATTTATTGGAAATAACCACAGATAGCGGCCCTGATAGGGTGCCGGTTTTAGAGAGCACACAATTGTGTAATGAATTGTAATTCAGAAGACTGTTAAATGTGAACCACAGAACCTTTCAGAGGTAATAAAGTCATTACTTTTTACACTACAGCCAACCCTGAAAAGCTTTATACACACCATTATATATAAATCATACATATATATTTCCACAACACACATTCGCCCATTTATATGCCTTCCCTATATATGGACTTTTATGGATGGATGGGGGAAATACTTAAATTTGAAAAACTCGGTTCCGAAAGAATCTGACTCACTATTGTTACCTGAAGGGGCTGTTATTTTATTTATTTATTTTTCAAAAACCTCCCAGTTGCACTTTATTCTTTCCTCTCCTCACCTTCCCTCCAACCATTCTTCTCCACGCAGCCCCCCTCCCGTGCAATGACACTCTTTTGGTCGTTCCAAAGCTAGTTTAAAAGGACGACGACGAAGAAGAACAAGAAGAAGGGGAGCAGGAGGAGGAGGAGGAGGAAGGACAAGAAGAGGAAGAAGAAGAAGAAAAAAGACAGTAGTGGGAGATGCCGACCTGCTCTGAAGAACTCATGAAAAAGGGGAAATGGTGTAACGCACACACTACAGAGCTTTACTGCAAGTGACTCTTCCTGCTTCTTAAACAGGATTTGAGTGCCCCCCCCCCAAACTGGAGAGAAACAATAACAACAAAACACATTTACACAAACCCAGTTCAGCACACATCTCTCCTAATGCTGAGCATCAAAAACCTCTCTTTCTTCCTTAGTGGGGCCCGAAGCTTCGCGGAGCCAGGCAAGCCAGTCATTTTCTAATAGGTTTGAAACTTTACTAAGACAACACGAGAATAAACAGCCGCTTGCCGGCACCACAGGGAGGTGGGTGTGCGCTTGCAAGCCAGGGGCTTCAGCTTAAAGCAATAAAGCCCTCAGCCGGGTGGGTGAATTTACGGAAAAGACGTCCTTTAGACTGAGGAGGGGAAAGAGAAGACGCGAGGGGTTGTGGAGCCGCTTGGAGGAGAGGGAAGGAAGGCTCCTCGTTCTGCAGACACACACACACGTCCACCTGCAGCTCGGAGTCTCGCGGACCGCAGCGACCCGCCTCCACCCTGCACCCTCCGCGCCTCCTTTAGACTTGAGTCAGTTTGCCTCCCCCCCGCCCCCCGCCCTTCCTGATTTGGAATCGCAGCGCGGTCTCGGCAGCGGTGGCTGAGGCTACAGGGTGGCGCAGGCAGGCAGGGAGGCTGGGAGGCGGGAGACGCCGGGGGACTTTGCAGACACGTTTCTGGATAAACTTTCCAATCGCAGGGGGTGCTGTTGCTGTACATTTTACGTAAAACTGAAAGTATCCCACGCCAGAGTGAAGCCCGCTTTTTGACAGCGGCAGCACGCGCGCGCGCGCGCGTGTGTATGTGTGTGTGTGTGTGTGTGTGTGTACGCGCGCGAGCGCGTGTGTGCATTAAAGAGACAGGGGTTTATTTCCAACAGGTCTTCTTTAATTTCCCGGGAACGTCTGTAGAAAGGCCGGAGGGGCCTGCAGGCTCCAGGCTGTGCACCTTGGCTCTGGGCGCCTGAGCAGCACGGCGTTGACCCAGGGCGGTCACCCCACCACCGTGGTCTCCCCGCTGCTCCTGGGAGCCAGTCCCTCTCTCTCCATTCCCCATTTTCTTTCCCCGGGTAACAGCACAGGAATAGTTGTACCCGGCCTGTAAGAAACATTTTTCTTCCCATTCCTCTGTGCTTTAGCAGTTGCTCTTGAGTGGGAGGGGGTGTGTCCATCCCTGGGACCCGGCCCGTGGACGTCCCGCGGCGCCGGAGCACGTTCCCAGGGACTGGAACTCTCAGGACTACCCGTGCTTTGTCCTCTGGCCCGCGGCCGCTCGGGAGGTGGACGCCTCGGCGCCTTCCTCGCCCCGGGCCTTGGCGCTCCCCTCTGGGGGCTGGAACGTGCCCCGAGTCTGGCTCCTCGTTCTTTATTCCTTGTCCTTTCTATTTACGACCCTTGGGAGCCTCGAGTCCGTGCTCCCAGTTTCATTCAGACCCAATCACTTGTCTGGGCGCTCAGATCCCAGCTTTCCCCCGGCCTCGCCCCCGGCTCGGCCTTGGGGGTGCCCTCCAGCCCGGGCCTGCGCCGCCTCTCTTGCCCTTGCCCCCTCTCTCCAGGCTGCCCAGGCACCTACAGGCCCCGGAGCTGCCTTTCCGGACCCGCAACCCTCCAAACTTGGGCTGGACTCCGTTTTGCTGCGCGCTTCCTCCCGCCTCCCCTCGCCCGCTGCGGAGCTGTAACTTGGAGGCTCAGCTCTAAACTTCGGGTGATTTTTCTTTGCTATCCTCTCCTCAGGCAAAGTTTCCCGAGCGCAGCCCCGAGCTCAGGGCTTTCACTGCAGCCCTGGGCGTCCGCACGCGGGGAGCGAGCGCAGCAGCCGCGCGGCGGTGAGGGGAAGTGGGTGTGCGCACAGAGGAGGGTGTCCGGGAGCAACTCTACCTGGCTTCCCTCCGCCCGCGCTTCCCGGGACCCAGGCTGCAGCCTCGCCGTATACTCTTGCCTTTTTTTTTTTTTTTTAAGTAATCTTTCATTTTAGGGTCCGCGTCCGGGGGGGGGAGCAGGGCGCACGTCTCGCTCCCCCCACCCTGCACCCCCCCCAACCCGGCCGCCCCTTTCTTCTCTCCCGGCCACGCTGCC